GACCGGGCGGGGGGCGGCTGCACTTGCGCGGGCAGCCCCGGGGCGTGCGGAGGCGCGGAGGCAGCAGCCATGGACTGCAGCGTGTTGCGGACGCTCGTGCGTAGATACGTGAGTGCCGCGTGGGGCCGGGGGCATCCCGGGGCGGAGGTTGGAGTCCCGTGGTGTCCCCGACACGTTTGCACTCCTGTCCACCTGTGTACGGCCTCCCGTGTCCACAGCTGCAGCCGCGACGCTCCCGGGGTCCCGGCACAGGCGCGGAGGCAGCAGCCATGGACTGCAGCGTGTTGCGGACGCTCGTGCGTAGATACGTGAGTGCCGCGTGGGGCCGGGGGCATCCCGGGGCGGAGGTTGGAGTCCCGTGGTGTCCCCGACACGTTTGCACTCCTGTCCACCTGTGTACGGCCTCCCGTGTCCACAGCTGCAGCCGCGACGCTCCCGGGGTCCCGGCACATCCCCCGGCGTAGCGCTCAGCTGCGGCAGGGCCGGCCCGCGCGTGAGCGGGACCGGTTGGGAGATTTGTGCACGGATGCGGGGAAGCCGGGAGCCTGAGTTCAGCCCCATCTGGGAGTCAGAAGTGAAGTTTGCAGTCTCTGAAAGTAGCCAGTCAAGTCTGAGTGCGCAGTTCCCGGCTCCCCTGGACACCGCCGCGCGGATTGGTGGCCGAGGGTGCATCGCGAGGGGAGACCGGGAAGCCCGCTGTCCTTTACATCGGGGAGGTGGCCGTCATCCTGCAGGAGGGAGTCTCCGAGGAGTGTGTGCCGAAGGGAGAAAATCTCCCGGAGACGCTCTTCTTCCCTGCACTTAGCACAAGGCCCTGTTGTCCATCAGCTGGCGCCCGGTGGTCACAGGTTTGAGGAGCGCGTGCTGCGCACGAGCTGGGTACAGAAGAGCCACTCCAGGGCGGCTCTTCCTGAGTGGGAGACTTTGTGGAATATGTGGGTTTTTCCTGGAGGGGACTGTATCCACTTCTTTTTTCTGGTTAATTCAGTTTCCTTCCAACTTTTAACCTCCTGATAAGAAAAGGGTGAGACTGAGAAGCTGTGCAGCCCTTCTCCAGGAAAGGCTGAGAGGTGGCCTTCATTGGCCCGTGCACCCTCCAGAGGTCCCTGACTCCCACCCGCAGACAACATACATTTGCCCCAAGTGGGTGCTGTCTTTACTTCCTTCTGCCTCCAGGCCTTCCTATCTTAATTTTCTCAACCCAGGTAAATTTGCAGATAGTTTCCTTCCGTTTTGTTATTGTTCCTTTAAAATCATATGTTTATACCAAACCTAGGAGGCAGATATTCCTTAATGAACTTTTCTATTCATTTAATTATTTGGTAATGTGTCTGGAATGTAAGTTATGGGAGGTTATTCTTTCTGTTTATCTCGTTTTACCTTGATGACTGCAGTGCCTTCCTGTCCCCCTTCACTATATTCCTCCACACGGAGTTATTATGTACAGTTTTAAACTCATATCTGAGCTATGAAACTAATTTGTCTTTTTCCAGAAACAGTTATGGTTTATTTTAAAAAATAATTTGGTTATCTTCTAATATATGGGGCTAAATTATATTTTCTTTCATTAGGAATTGAGTCTTTTGTTTTAAGACCGGGTTTCCTTATAGCTCCAGTGTACTGCACCACCACTACACCCAGCTAAGATTGAGTATTTTTATCTCATTGTGGTTTATGTAGTTAACTACAGAATGAGCCTTTTCCTTCTCCCCTTAGTCTGTTCACACAGTCAGAATTCCTGAGACAGAGGACAGCATCCCAGTTCCCTCCAAGGCCCAAGATTGCAAAGATAGAACTGTCAATCCTTGAAAAACATTGCCGTAGGTATTTTGTCCTTTATCAGGTCTTGACTGTGAGCACAGGCAGATGAATTAATGAGAGAATTCAGTCTAGGTTAAGGCCAGTACACTCCAGAGTACACACTGCTGGACATTTGAATGATCATGGTCATGTAGAGGTGTTTTCTGCTTACTCTGGCACTGTGTATATGTCCCGTGGAGTGATTTATGTTCCTTGAGGTAGTCTGAGTCACACCTTAAAAAACATTTTAAAGGGCATGGGTGGAGAACTAGTGGTGTTTCCTCTTAGGTATGTGAGGTGGGAAATGAGGATTCTGGTGGTGGACCTTCTGAGAGGAAGCAGTGGGGCCTCCTGGGTTACCTGCAGAGGCTCAGTGAGGCTGCTGGAAAGGCTGCTGGCTTCATGATGCCTCCCACTTGAAGCTGTGTACCTGAGACAGGTGGCCTAGCTTTGTCAGGGACCTGTGCGATGGAGCTACTATGAGGACGGAGTGAATTAGTCCAGGAAAGGGCTAGGAATGGGGCCTGGCTCTCAGTAGAGGTTTAGCAAGTTCATCACTACCCACACTGCTCAGGTGGTCCAGGCTGGGGCAGGCATCAGCTCTGGGCTGCAGTGAGAGGTTAGCAGTGTCCTGATGCTGAGCAGTGTGGAAGGCTCAGATGCCCTTCAAAAGCTTTAAAGCAAAGAAGATTTTTTTTTTTTTTTTAAAAAAAAAAAAAAAAAAAGGAGAGGGGAGAAGGACAAGAACATGGAGGGTGTATGGATGTGTTTGGTGGTTTCCCCAGGCAGTGGGAGGGGGGAGTTGGGAGTGAATATGATCCAGATATATATACATATGAAATTGTCAAAGAATGAATAAAAGATAAAACACTTTTAAGTGAGGTGTGGAAACTGCTGCAGGCCAGGCAGGAGCAGCTGTGACTGACTGCATTTGGCCTTGGAGGTTATTTAGGGGCCTGCCTCCTAGACCAGGCTGCTGGCTGGATCCAACGCCCTCTCTCTGCTGCCTTCCTGGTTCATACTGAGGGGATTTGATTTTCCCTCATATTCCTGTAGGACAAGAGCTTCATTTTTTCATGTCTGAGTAATTCATTTCTATGATTCAGCCTGGATTTTGTTTATTAGGTTTTACTGCTTGTCAGAGCTGCTGTCTACTTCTGCCTCATGGGGTTTGCCTCTCAGCAAATTTTTGTTGTTCTAAGACAGCAAACTTTGAAAAGGCAAAGGCTTTCCTTGTTGATGGCAGATAGTTGTTTAGTTGAGCTATTTAATTTCTTTCTTTTTCTTTCTTTCTGTCTGTCTTGGTGGTATTTGACAATCAAACCTAGGCTCTCTTGCGTGCTAGGCAAGTGCTCTACCATACCGGCCCTTTTTTACTTTCTATTTTGAGACAGTCTCTCTAAGTTGCCCAGGGTGGCCTTGAACTCACCCTATGTCCCCTCCCCGCCAGGTCTTGAGCTTACAGTCCTTCCTTGGCCGCCAGTGTGCCTCCAGTGTACAGGTTACAGGCCTGTACCACCAGGCTCAGCTCATTTAAATTTGGCTCCTGAGGACTTCAGACATTTTACACCTCACCTCCCAGAAAATTTGGTTATTTTGTAAGGATGCACCTGTATCTGCTTTTATTTTTTTATTACCAAATGTTTGCTTGTTCTAATAGAAGTTATTAATTGGAATTGCTACTCCTTATCCAGCACTGGGAACATGAGACCTTCCTGTTCAGCCCCCAGAGTCTGTGGACATAAAGTGAAACCATTTAACCACCAAGGCCTTCTGGTATTTGAAATAAGTGAATCCTTAGGCATAAAACCCCAGGCTAATGGATGGTCTGTCTCCAGTCTGGTGGCAGCAACCTGCAGGGTGGGCTTGTGAAGTTTATAATTAACACAGCTTTTACAAGGCAGGAGTCAGACAAGTTTATCCAGCACCTACCTGTCTTCAGGGGCTGGTATGTTCCAATTGGACATTTCTGAGCAATCAGCCCAGCTGTGTAATTTAACTTTTATGTTCCAGCCATTGCTTTAAATCCTTCCCATTGTTCTCTGGAACCCTGTGGAACGATTGTCTGCTCCTTAGGACGAGTGCTGCTAAGATGCTTTTATTTCATGCCAGAGACTGAATTTAATAACCTAAGGGAAAGAGGCTTATATTATTGCCATCAGTTAAATTTCTGGAAATGAGAGTGCTGTCCTCAGTTTACAATTAGCTGAGATGTTGCAGCTCTGCTAACAAACACACATAGTGCCCCGCTACCCGAGAATTCTGTCTACAGATGTGCTGGGCTCCAAACTGAAAGTACAAATTGTTCTTGGGTGCCTGGGCCCCATACTCCACAGAAACAGGGTGGATGGAAGATTTCATCTCAGACTTAGAAGTACTCTTTCAACCAAGTTAAATGCAGGTAAGAGCGCTATTTATTTGCAATACGGATCAATAGAAAGCAATTTTTACAGCACTGGAAATTCAACAAGATTGAGTATGTACTATTTTTGCTTGAGGGATGCTGATGGCTAAGAAACTCATAGCAAATGGCAGGGGGTCTGAGGTTAGGCTTTTAGTCTCCTGGATCTCACTCACATGTTGTCTCAGCTCATCGCCTGTGTACCTTGGGCTGGCAGTTGGCTTCCTCAAGCTGTTTCCTCCTCTGTAAAGTTAAGACTGCCCATAGTGCCCACTCTGGTACCTGCAGGTCTGGCTGGGACAGTCTTTGCATGTGGTGAGTGCTCTGAGTGGGACACCCTGTTGCTAGTATAGATTGGACCTGTACTGCCTCTTCATGGGGCAGCTGGCAACCTGCCTGGACCTTCGAGGAGAAAATAGCATGCCAAGTGCACACCCTATAACCCTGCTCTCTCTTTCCTTGGCCTCTCTGGGTTTGGTGCAGATGACCCTGTTCTGATAGAGGCCAGTCCTGCAGCTTGTATTCTGGGTCCCTCCCTTATCCTTCCTGTTCAGGTGACATCATCTGCTCCACTGCATAGTCATGTCTTCATTACCCATTATCTTAATGGCTTGTCCCATGTAGCTGACTGGACTTTCTTTCCTCCCACCTTACCTTTTTCTTGCTCCTGGGGGGTTCTTCACAGTGACTTCCTGTGACTTCAGTGGTGGCACTCACACTTGACCTCAGCAGGCCTCAGTGTGATTTACACATTCACATTTTACTGCAGGTGAGTGCCCTGTGACATATCAGTAGGTCAGCAGGACAGAGACCAGGATTCCCATCCCTGAGGCAGCCACCTCAGAATGGCGAGGCATACTGAACAAGTAGGCAAGTGTTAGTGGTCAGGTGAAGAAACATGGTTTCA